TACATATAAATATTATGTGCATACGAGGGTGGATCCAAAAGTTCTAAGCCCGACCAAGAACGTAAAAGAGTAGTTTGTGTAAATAATTTTTCATTTTTCGACATAAGCTCCATCTAGCTCAACACACTTCACTTTTACTTCATTAACAATTCTTTCAATACTCCTCTTAGAAACCCCAAACGCAACCCGCGTCAAATTAAAAATAACATTTTTCCAATAAACTGTATTTATTAAGATGCTTAAAATAATTAAAAACGTTGTGCACCATTTCACAAGATTGTCCTGGTAATGTTTGAAAAAAGATCAACATGTACAGTAAAGATCAACATAAACAGTAGCAAAAGCAAAACAATAACTGTCACTTTTATACTCATAAGCTGGACCGAGCGCGAGAGAGACGGACAGTCTTTTCATAATGTATTTGTGATTGTATATCAGTTTGACATCACGCCTCGCGCTTATTCACAGACACTACACAAGCACAAAGTGTAAATGTGTTGAAGCCGCCAGCTTTAAATAACATACCAATACAACGTTGAATGAACGATTTGTCACCATGGTTACGTTTTTCTGTGTATAATGGTAACCATGGTAACAAATCAGTGCTTTCCACGTTATGTACAGCCAATGTTTACCATAATTAACTGTATTAATTGTACTATAGTAAGTATTTATTTTTTGAAGCTAGGTTATTAATTGATTTTATTATAGTGATGTTAAACGTGATATTTTTGTAATTTGTTATTGTATATTTCAATTAATTTAACATATGATTATTTACATAATGTAGCGGTTGATAAATGTGTTCTTAAAAGCGTACAAACTGATGATTAATAAAAATATCTGTTTATAATTGTTTGAAAGATTTCCAAATATATGTCGTGATACGAACGTGCCTTACACGGTGCCATCAGGTTGTAACATATTAAATGTAATTACAGTTTTCATGTGTATTTATTTACAACAATAAATCGTCATCCTAAGATCGAGATCGAGTGTGAATAAACTACGGCTGTATACTAATTATATGAGCGCAATTAAATTGCTAATATAAAGGAAAGTATTGTGAGAAAACTAGCATGGTTTACAGCAAAGAATCGACAGTGTCAATCACTTTTTATTAAAATAAAAATTTATACGTAAAGGGTAGCACTTGTTATTGTTTTTTTATTAAATGCAGTAGTCTCAAAGTTTAGTTCAAAATTTTTTTGCTAGGAATATTTCCCCTTAATGATACGTACAGTCAAAACCGTTTATAACGACATCGTTTACAACGACATATCGGTTATTACAACCAGATTGTATGGCCCCGTCCGAATCCCTAGTAAACTATTCAGTAAACAAACCGCTTATAACAACATCGGTTACAGCGACATATCGCTTACAACGACGAAATTTTATCGATATTCATCGGCTATAACGACCAACCGCTTCTTGTCTCAGCAAAACAAAACAATACAAATGATTTTAAATCTTATTTATAAGCATTGAATGAATATTAGGCATATTATTACCTACGCACTTTCTCCCGCCTCATCCGGACCTCTTCCCGGCCATTTGGCCTTGCATACTTTACACATGTTTAGTTCGCTAATTGACTGCGTGAGTAACAGTTTGATTTAAAAGTGTTGGTGTTGTTTAGACTGTGCAATTGTGCATTTATGTGTTATCATGTCGCAAAAATAGAGAAAAGTGTTTTTCTCTTTTTTTGTTGAATAAAAATCTCATGTCATATGAATAAAATGCAAAAATATTTGAAACTGGGGATAGTAAAAAAACAGACCAAAATGACTTTTGTACCTAATTATTTTGCAATAAATATATTTGTTTCTTTTTTGACTCCTATACATATTAGAATATTAACATACCATATTATAACCCATACCTACCTATTCTAGATAGATAACTATGTACTGTACTTGTGTATATGACATTGCTTATGACGACTATCGGATATAACGTCGGCAACTATACGGTCCCTTCAATGTCGTTATAAACGGTTTTGACTGTAGTTTGGAACTCCAAAAAGATACAAGTAAGACCCGAGGCAATCTCGCAGCCTAATGAACCAATTTGCTGCACAAAGTTGAGATAGAGTTGTCTAAACAATAGCTATAGTGACCACAATGGTGAAATAGGTACAAGTCTTCGAAGAAATAGATTTCTAGTCTTAAGGAAAGATGTGAACCAAGTTATATTTTGTAATATATTAATTTCCCGAAATATTTTCTTAAAATGTATCGCCTGATCTGGAAGAATTAATCGAAGAGCGATATTGGTATAGCGTGATAATTAGTATGTGGATAGTGTCCCTCGGGTGTTCCAGGTAAACATGTGGGCCCGCATACACAAAGAATACGATAAGTAATAACTACGTAAACCTGAAACATATTTTTTGCAATAAAAATATATGTACTTACTTAAATATACAACAAAATAAATGAGTATTTTCAGTTAGATGTTTCAATCAGAGATTCCAATTAAGTTCACGCTAGCTTAGCGTTCGTAAAGCGAGAAACATTTCGAATTGCGAAGAGAGTTCTAGATTATTCTAACCAGAGTGGAATCTCGTCTATTTAACTACTAACAGATTTGTGGCTGCGCAAATATTTTCTAATTAACAGTGAACAACGCTGTTAATTAAGTCTTATAAGCAGTCAAACGAACAGACCCGCAATAAGCCGAGGCGACCCTCAAAGCTTGTTTAATGTTTACTCACTGTACTACGCTGTAATCTAAATATAGATTTTTCAATTGGTTTTTTTATCTTAATCCTTCTCCGTAGTTCAGTGACTTCCAATAGTGACAGTGGTCCGTTATTGTATGATATTTCGATATAGTTATTTCAATATCCTTAGCGCTGAAGGATCGCGCCGTACAAAACCTTTACATGGAAATGCTAAATCAATCAATAATGAGGAGTCGTATCAGAGACATCAACAGCTTAATTATTTTTTAAATACAGAATTTAAAAAATAATGGCGCAAAAGCGGTCCAAAGGCGGTCCTATTAGTACTCGTTGACCGTTTTTCGGCAAATGCCATGGGTGCGGCTCTTGGCTCGCTTCTGGAATTATTTCGGCTTTGTCACTAAATATTCAAAAGAAATGGAAATGTGGTTCTGTAATCTATACGTATAAGAAATGCGTGTCTGTAGGATATATTACACTTAGATTAGTAACCAAAGAATAAGGCAACACGAAAACGATTTATTAAATTTTCTTTTCTGTCTGTCTCTTCACGCATCCCCTGAACTCCGAAACTATACTACCGATTTATTTTGCAATATTCACAAAACGATAAATTTGAAAATGTCAAGAAACAGTTACCTTTAAAAATATTTCAAGATCTAAAAATATCTTAATCACTGAAACATTGCTTTCCACCGTTATAAAAATGTAGTTTTACATTGATGCACAGTCAGTAAACACGAAGAACTTTCGGGATAAATCCCTATACCTAGATGGATATGTAGGTGCAAGTGTCAAGGATTTGTCTAGAAGGTTCGGTTTAAATAAATTTTTGAGTTGCATCATATTTGTCTAACTCAGAAACTTTACTATATATACAGTTATAAACAAAAGCGACCCATCATCATAACACACTCTGAACGTGCATAAAAGCCTTTTATCGTCAATAAAGAATTTAAGTGCAAAATTAGCTCTGGAAGCTTTAAAACGAAACCCTTGTAATCTTACTAATAAATAATATTGACTCGCTTTATTAGCAAACGCAAACCATCGGATTAATAATCTTGAATTTATATGTAATCTATTTGGTCTATGTATGTAAGGACCAATAAATATAATCCGGCAACTTTATTTTGTAACCGTGTTCCATAGTTTTATTTATTACCGACTATTTACTTGTTTAATATTCCGATAAACGAAAGATCTCCAACAATCAACATGACGATATTTACTTTAAATGTACCCGGAGTAAAATATTAAATGTTTGATGAGAAAATATAACTTTTGTATTTGCTTGTACTTGTCGAATCTAAAGTTGGGCGCCGCCCGCCCACCACTCTGAATATAAACCCTTGGGCGGAAAGTGTTGAGTTCAGTCTGTAAGGTGACTGCGTTACAGCTACTTAGGTAAGTGGAACTTCAATAATGTTTCAAATGATAAAAACATTGTTTTAATTTTTTTACTTTTACAGTTTATAATTAGTGTAGTGTTTTCCAATATCAAAGTTTTATTATTGAGGTGATTAGTATTGAGGTGACAAGTCTACTTATGTTTCGGGCTAAGTTGTAAATAGCAGTATGGATTAGAGAAATCTAAACTTTTGGTGAATTAAAAAATTGTGACTAAAGGAAATCTTTGTTTAAAATTGTGCTTGATCTAGACATAAAATGGAGGCCTAGTAGCTTGATCATATGACTCTCATCCATGAGGTCGTAGGTTTGAACCCCAGCTGTGCACTAATGGTATTTTCGATAAGCATATTTAAAACTCCCTACTACGGTGAAGAAAATCGGAAGGTAATCACATAGGTATATGAGGAAACCGGCGTGCTTTGGACACAGAAGGTTGATCGCCTACTTGCCTATTAAAAAAAACAATTGAATTTAAATAGATGCAGAAATCTGAGGCCAAGACTAAGGGGTGTAGCTATGTAGAATGTAGGTAATATAGAAAATCCATTATGAATGTTGTATGGGAGATAACTGCTTAGAACTTGAACAATAGTAGAACAATAGTCTGCTATGCATAATAGAATGCAATCTCGCCCGGACTGAATACAATTTCTATTGTAGGTCTATTAGAAGCGTTACTACTAGTTTGTTGAGTATGCAAACACTCCGGAAACGTCATAGCAATACTTAACTATGTGTAATGAAATGTTGCTCTAATTCATTATTACTTATATGAGAGTAGGTAATAATAATAATTAACACTAACAAAACCCATACAACAGGAGTTAGGTTATTTATTTAAGTATGAATAATAGCTTACTTTTGGAAATATTTTAAGCAGAGTTCACTGATAAGAACAATGAAGTCTACATTTCTCCTCCTGTTTGTTTCGGTTTCGTCCGCACTCGTGCTTTATAACAGCGGAGAGGAATCACTGTTGAAAACTGAGGTATTATGGTACCCTCACTAAGTTATTACACACATAATGTTATTTTAGTCGACAGTTAATCAATTCATAAATTAACTGCATTATGTAATAATTCTTTTGAACTCAAAACCAATCCATTACAACAAGTAAGGATAATTCACTTATTGCTTTTTATTTTTCCTAGGCGCAATATATTGATTTTCCTTTTATATGTATTACTTTGTATAAATCATAGTAATAAATGTAATAGGTTAGTATTATTAATATCTGTTATTACTTTTTCAGTTGATGGATACCGGATTTCCAGCCAATACTAATAACATGAAATCTGATGAGCTGCCGTGGGCTGATGAACGTCTCTTCTATGGGCTATTAAAATTCCACAAGAATAACACTACTGAGTAAGAATTTTGTTGAGGTTTCATAGTATTTTACATTTAGTAAGTAGCTAATTCTGATGATGTCCTAAATAGGCAGGACTTAAATACGAAGAACGGCCCAGAAACAAAGGCTGTCAAAAGTACCGAGATAAAAAGATCGAAAAGTAAGAAGGTAACGGATAACAGTTACTCCGCGAGGAAATGGTACTTGAAGAAAGGCAAAGGTATGTTACCTACACATGCTATACAAACAAGTAAGCTCGTTTACATATAAAGCATAAACCTTAAACCTCCACCGATTTTCGAATTTTTTTCGTTAGTCCTGAGTAACGGGCAATTATTACATATTATTTGATTATAATTGACGTGTTTTCCTGTTACGCGTACCAAGACTATGTAAAAATATTTATTATTAATTCTTGTTATAGGAATTCCTACACTGTGTTATTTCAAAATTTGCTCGTTCAAAACCATACAGTGGTAGAAGATATTCGAGCCCGAACCAAGTACCGCTACAACAAATGGAAATCTTGTAAAATAATTACAAAGCTTGCTGAAATAAACTGGATCTGAGATTTTACGCTTTTTAATGCTCATTAAGTTTATGGATGATGTTATAAAAAAATAAAAAGGTATAAGCAATTATTGATTTTTTTTCAATCCCTTATCACTTTAACACTACGAAAATGTTCGTCATTGTAAGAATAAGAATGAAATTACTTCGTTACAAATACGCAATTTAGTCTTGTTTACATTTTTACAAATTTGTCACCTTATTTACCAAGTCATAGTACCTTAAATATTAAAATACTATAACAATAAACGTCTTTGTTTATTAGATAACTGCAACCTATGTACAAAAATTTAATGTCAGATTAGTTAATGGCTAATTTAAGAAGCCTCAGAGATACCCTTTTGGGTTTCGATTACTTATAATATGGTGAACTTAACTCTAAGAGAAAAATTTATGATTTAACTATGTCACTGCTTTGACAGAAGTAGGTTTCTTAGGATACTTCGCACATCGTAATTAATATTGTAGCAAATTTTTAAAAACACCTTTCAATTGCGTAGTTAACAACATTGGAACACGTACCCTTTTCCAATTAAAGTTTAGTTGAACAACTTGTGTTTTGTTACGATGTATTTCTATTTGTTCGTATTATGTTATTATTAAATAATATGATAAAGCTTTCAGTTTTTGTGAACATAACGGGTTCATACTAAAATCTATCAATATACGTTTTAGATTCCATGTACAAGATCTTAGATAAAAGCATAGATGACGTTGAAGAATCTCAAAAGTCTCAATCAACTTGATCACTACTTTTGTCTATTTTATTATTTTGTGGCTGGATCGTCACGAATATGTCATTTTAAAAAGGAAGGAAGGAAAAAGGAAGTTATTATAATTACAATTTAATTACGCCTGCAATCATAAACTCATGAGAAATAAACCTTGTAAACATTTAAAATATTTTGTTTTACAAATTATTCAACATTTAAGGCCAAGCAAGATCCTCGTTCAAGGTTAGCTGAGTAAAGTCTGTAGTGCAATCGAACCAGTTGTAACTTATTAATTATAGTTTAAGCTAGATGGGTGATTGTATCAGTTCCTTACCGAGTGATCATACATATAAAAATGATTCTTATTATATGTTTACTTAAAATATTGGTGATACAATTAGTGTGGAGAAGTGAAGTAACTGCAGCAAGATCTACCAGAGCAAATTACTCGGCGATTGCCAGAGGATTGGGTTTTGATACCGAAGAATACGATGTAGTGACAGATGACGGATATATATTGACGTTATTTCGAATGCCTGGTGAAAAGAAACCTGTTTTATTAGTGCATGGATTGTTAGATTCAGCTGATACATTTATTATCCGAGAAAACCGGTCCCTTGCTGTTGCTCTCGCGCGTGAGGGTTACGATGTCTGGTCTGCGAATGTCAGAGGCGGCAGATATTCAAGACGACATATCAAATTAAATCCGGACACAGATAGGCATTATTGGAACTTTAGTTTCCATGAAATAGGCTACTATGATCTCCCGGCAATGATTGACTTTATCCTAGGCAAAACTGGAGAGACCAGCCTTAGTGCCATTGGACACTCTCAAGGCAACAGTGTGTTTTATGTTCTTGGCTCGACCAAACCTGAGTATAATAAAAAAATCAGCGTAATGATTGCATTATCACCAGTCTGTTACTTCAATTATTCAATGCCTCCTACATCGATGTTAATAGAGTCCTTACCTTATCTATCTAAGATTTTATTAGGGTCTGGTAAGGAAGAGGTTTTTGGTGACAACACAATACTGAGACTCTTAATGGATGAAATCTGTGGTTGTAAAAAGTGCTACAATTTATGCGCTCGTGGAGTATTTTTTCCGATCAGCGGTAGTGATCCTGATGAGTTGGAAGCTGCCTTTTTCCCCACAGTCATAGACCACTATCCAAGTGGCACATCAAGAAAAAATATTATTCACCTTGCGCAGGGATATTTAAATAACTTCAGTTTTTACGATTATGGATCTAAGAACATGGAAATCTACCAACAAACGTCCCCACCACTGTATGAATTGGAAAAAGTTAGTATGAAAATTGTACTTCTTGCTGGGAGAAATGATGCCCTTGCGTCGGTTAAAGATGTTGAACTATTGCGGGATCGTCTTTCAAATGTTGAATACTACTTGTTAAATAACAGGATGCTAAATCATTTAGATTTCATATGGGGTCGAAATATGAATAAATACCTGTTTCCTTATATTTTCAATGCACTAACTAAAACCAATAAGCATAGTATTAACTGAGTTTGAGTTAATTAGTTAAGTACAGAACTTTTGGTGGCTTAAGAACGTGATCCATGTTAACATTTTTTTATACGTTCTATAACTTATGTATAATAAAATTGCACGGTGATGATGATTTATTCATTTAGGAAATGGAATATTTCTAAGCGCAATGATTTTAAAATGTTTGTTCTTTGGTGTTATAATGAGTGTTTTACAACATTGTCATGTGTTAAATATATTTTTCGTTTATTTTGTTAATAAATATATATATATATATACTTAATAGTAAATTTTCATTTAAATACAGCGGAAAATGTGTCTCCCAAACACTACGGTTCATGACCCATTCTAATATGGAACTTCATACGAATATTTTCCCCATAGAACATTAGAAAATAAAATATAGAAATATCAATATTTATAATTTTTATTTTATTTAAGGAAGTAGTAATTAATATCAAGGAAATTATATTCTGCGTAAACAGTTTTAATATAATGTGCATTGTATAATAGTGCATTTTCCAATTACAGAGCATAATGCGACTCAGTGCCGCATTATGCTGAAGCTTAATTGGAACGTGAATTAGTTTTCAAATGCATCAGCAGAGTGCGCTAAGTCAGTGTTGAAAAAAAAAAATGTTCTGAATAGAGTTAGCAACCTCATTAATGTATAAATAATGTGGTAAACAATAATAATTGGTTGAAAACTATTTACGCTTATTTTAAGTAATTTGCATTTTGATTATTTCATTAACATTTTTTTACTGAAATAAGAGAAAACCTTTAAGGTTAACCTTTACCTTTTAATATAAGGTTTTAACAAGCTAAATTTACAGTAAAATATTTAGTTTCATGTAATTGAAATATTTGTAATTTTTTTTAGAAAAACCATACTGACAAAACAGTCATTAAACGCTATAGACAATAGATATAGACATTAGAATTTAATGATCTGACACCAATATTGAACAATTTCCGCTGACACCTTGAAATTTGAAATGTGTTTGAAACTTTGAAATTAAATAATCAGGAATCAAGATTCAGATGATGCAAGAAATTGTTTAAGTGAAATACGATCATGAGACTTATAGTTCTATTACCTACGTCTTGATCTACACTGCATCGGTAACATTTATGCTTAACACAACTACGGTGTTAAACCTTGTTTATAGTTACTAATTAGTGTATATTGTACGTGTAAGAAGAGGTTATATGCGGCTGCATAAAAATGAGTTTTCCTGAGGATAATGGGTATACTAATACTCGAAATGCACGTGGAGATTCCAGGAATGGTCTTTCTATCAAACAAGCATATAGTAACGGTAAGAGAAGTACACATTATATCTACTAATTTAATAATTAAACAATCGCTTGTTTCTTCGACTTTCCTATTCAATCTGAATTCTAAAAAAATAACCACTTAGTAGTTATTTTTTACTATAGTGGTTAACACTTTAATATTACCTTCTATGTTTCTACCTGACCTTACCTTTCTGTCCAGAAGATATAAAATGATTGTTATGAGAAAGGCACATTTTTAACAAATCCTTAACTTACAAAATTTTCACTATCTTCAATTATTAAATAAATATATATTTGCATTACCTTTAGTATTGATCGAGAAAAGAGGCTTAAATTTAAATTAGTAATAATAATGGCCCATGCCAATTCGAGACATATCAATTGATATTGTTAAATGATTGATCAGACCAATTGAAAAGTTATTGAACCAAATCAATTGATGTGTCCACCGGCTGCGGTTGTATTCAGTGATGTGGGTGGTGATTTTATTTCTAGGTAAAAGTAATTTTATTATTAAATAATGCAATTAAAGTAGTTAAGTAAAAACATAGTTATATTTCATACAGCTTATGGTCTTGGTTTACCACCATTGGCTAGATTTTACTTACAAACAATTATTTTAAGGTGGTCTGAAAGCTGGGGCTGTCAGAGCCCTAGGACTGGCATACCGTGTGCTGTCTCGACGCAAGGCAGCAGAGGAGGGAGTAGCTCGTCTGGCAAGAGTTCTTTCAGCTTTGGACCTGACTGCACTGGGAGTGGGTAGTACACTTGGAGTAGGAGTTTATGTATTAGCTGGAGATGTTGCCAAAAACTATGCAGGTCCAGCTGTGGTCTTGTCATTCCTGTTAGCAGCTGTTGCAAGTGTTTTTGCAGGTATGTCCTATTACTAACATTTAAATATAATGGAATAAAAGGTAGTGTAAGTGTAGTTAATGCTGATCTCACGAGTCAGTGATGAATTTTCTGTGTTGACCTCAAAGATTTGATTCCTACGAAAATACTTTCATGAAACATAATAACAACAAGTAACAAAACAAAAAATATATGATTAATGAAATTCACTTATTTGATTAAGGAGTTGGTTTTTCTTTTTATTATTGATTTAACATGATAATAAACATTATAATTCTAATTATCTATTAATTATATTCAGAGTTGATTTAGTAATAATTAATTAGAAAAGGCTCACAACTTCTTATCTTAATCATTTAAATTATAATAATATCTTGTTGACATTATTAGCTGAATAGACAGACCCTCTATGTGATTGGTACATAAAGTAAATGCCTTTGTCTGTTCATAACATAAAAGAAGTCTTGTATTTATTCTAGGTCTGTGTTATGCAGAGTTTGGTGCTCGTGTTCCAAAGGCAGGGTCAGCATATGTGTACAGTTATGTCTGTGTTGGAGAGTTTATTGCATTTATTATTGGATGGAATCTCATACTTGAATATATAATAGGTATGTTATTGGTAATAATAAATAATTATTATAATTAATCTATACTACCTGACTTGGCAAACATTGTTTTGCCTAGAAGATTATTGCAGCACTAATATTGCTATTAAAAATGTGAGTTGGGGGTAGAGGTTAGAAAATTTAGGTTTATTAGTATTTTTAATCTTTAAACATACAAAAAATTGTACCTTATCACATCAGACAAACCGAATTTACATATTAAGCAATTTTAGATATTATATACATTTTTAAAAAGACAGTTACATTTATAATCAGCATTTATTAGAGCATAAACTGTCGTTCACATTAAGTAATTCTTTTGTAAGTTGATATGAAGTTTACAAAATTACTTCTTTTATGTAACTGGTCACAACTGACTGGAGCTTAATTATGAAAGTAGAAATATGATACAATGACTATTATGGGTTGCTAAATACATAAGAAACAGAAAACTATGAATCAGTACATCCTTCCTGTCTCCATGAATGGAGACCTGGGCAAAATAAAAGACCACGCGGCCGCCCACCGACTAGGTAGACTGACGGCATCGTCAAAGAGGTTGGCTCCCAGTTGATATAGAAAGACCATTGCAGGGCTAACTGGATGAAAATGGACGAGGCCTACGTCCAGAAATGGGCCAAATAAAGAGGCTGATGATGAGGATGATGCTTGTCTATTATATTTATGTAATTTCAATATAAAACTCCAATGAGCTGGTCAGTAATAATAAACTTAATTTGACTCTAGGTGCAGCCTCTGTAACTAAGGCATTGAGCGAGTATCTGGATTCACTGTTAGACAAGGCAATATCCAGCCGCTTACTCGAATGGATGCCTATGGATTCACCACATCTTGCCAAATATCCCGATATTTTTGCCTTTTCTGTCATAATGATTTTTTCTGGTAAGAACGCAATTATATCATCATAACAATGAACTAATATAGTTTCTATTAGGCAACTGATGCCTTTTTAGTACTTTGAATTTAATTATACAGATGTCCTGTGTTCACCGGCGAAATTATGATTTGGGTTATTAGGATCTATTTATTTATAACAAAATGGATACAACAAAAATTCAATCTCCTAATGCCCTGTACGGGGGGGTTATACAACGAATTATTTTAATAAAAATAAGAAGTTTTTACTTTAATATCCTAAAGCTAACCAGGCTACAACTTTAAGTACAATTTCTTTATAAGCTTATAATTTCCCGTACCACCTCGACGTCCGTCGTACCACAACTGAGCGTTTCTTTAAGGCAGTTTTTGCCGCGCACCGGAAAACCTTAAGAAACACTATGCGGAACCAGCTGGCCACTGAAGTATTTCCGAACTAATTCGACTTAGGATCCTTCAAGAGAAGAGCGTACCATTTTTTAAAAGGCCGGCAACGCAATCGTGAGCCCTCTGTCATTGAGAGTGTCTATGGGCGGCGGTATCACTTAACATCAGTTGAGCCTCCTGCCCGTTCACCCACTGTTCTAAAAAAATAATAATAACCTAATATTATGATTATGAATAATGTATATTTTCAGTATCGCTCGCGTTTGGCGTGAAAGAGTCGACAAAGTTCAACAACTTCTGTACCGGCGTGAATTTATGTGTTGTGCTGTTTGTCATAATATCGGGCTCCTTCAAAGGTATTACTTGACTTATCCAATTTAGATGAATAATTTTATATTCGTTAATTAATTTAAAAATTAAATGCAAATTTATCTTAAAACAAAAGAAATTTTGGGAATGTGGGATATACCCCAACTTGCCTTAACCAGTATTAACAATTCCAGCTGATACGAAAAACTGGCGCATACCAGCAGAAGAGGTCCCGAAAGGTGGTGGGCGGGACTTCGGTAGCGGTGGCTTCGCCCCTTACGGGATCGCTGGGATCATTCGGGGCGCGGCTGTCTGCTTTTACGGCTTCATAGGCTTCGACTGCGTAGCAACGGCCGGCGAAGAAGCGCGTAGACCCCAGAAAAGCATACCCTTTGCTGTGGTCGCTTCGTTGCTAGTTGTGTTCCTTGCCTACTGCGGTGTGTCTTGCGTGCTCACACTTGTCTTGCCTTACTATATGCAGGTAATACAGCTTGAACAATATGTTTAATCGAAGTTTTAAAAAGATCAACTATGATACTTGAGCATAGTTCTATGGGCGTATATGGAACTAAATGAAAGTGAAAACTTGTATCAAGATAATCCTCTTGAAAATTATACCGAATACATATTATGGAACTGTGTTATATGGACGTATATGAATATTTTACAAAACTATTTTGAACTACACGTCACCTGTTATAGCGATATTCTCATATGGGATTGTAAATTAATTTAATAGTGGCTTCAATTTTTGTTGCCAATATCCTTTGATTGATTTTTTTGAAGTTATACTTCTTTAGGCGCGTTATGAAAAATTGATGAGAGTGAAATTTTACGATGCGCGCGCACCGTGACACAAAATTAACAGAATGAAGTTGCCCACGGAAGATGTTACGGCATTGGACATAATTTAAAACCAACATTCGAATAATAATAGAATGTATGTTATGCTTAATGTAAGAGAATAATAATAAATATTTATTTATATAATTTTTCAAATGTAAACTGAACTTTATTCAGTATAATTACTCCTTTTCCAGTCTTTGATTATTTAATTGTAATTAATTATTTGCATGCAATCAAAAACTATTTTTAATAATGCCAAAGAAGTATAACTTCTTACGCTACATATAAAATACACGCACCCTTTTTAATAATTAAATGTGAAGTTGTCGTTTGATTCGTTTCATTTCTTCTGTTTATGGTATACTTTGTGTATTGCAGGACGAAAAGGCACCGTTCCCGTATGTGTTTGATCAATTGGGATGGAGTTGGGCCAAATATGCTGTCAGCGTTGGTGCCGTTTGCGCTCTTTGCTCAAGGTACTTTTACAATTCACTTTATATTTATGTTATCACAATAGATCTACACGGTTTAGTACGCACAATTGTACGTGTATGTGACGGATATATATTTTTTTTAATTTATGATATATAACTGTAAATAGTTTGATATCCCCAACATTGGATAATTGACCCAATTAAATGGCTACTTAATATCAAAATAACAAAGACAGAGATATATACATATTTTTTTTTAATATTCAGTTAATTTGTGACAAACTATATGGCGGTACGCTAAAGTTCGGTCTATCAGTGTAACCATGGGTTACCGCCACCATTGGTACTATAACTAAAAAAAAAATAACGATTAAATGACTCGCGTTGGCGTAAACAATATCACACTATGACCAAGACGCGTACACACAACGCACACATAGAAGCGCGCGGCGTCTATATTGGAATTCTCGTGGAATTCGCTAGGAAGACGTATCCGAGTAGAATAGCCCTCCGGGTCGTCTGATCGTGGATCAGTAAACTTTTCTTGACCGATGCCCCGTGTCGTTAAGTTAAGCTTTAGCTAGGCGGTAGGTAACGTAGGTACCTACTGTAATTTAATCAATATTGTATCAAGAATAACAATAAATTACTTTTTTAAGGACAATTGAGTTTAATTCTCAACACTCCCTTGCAATATTAATTTCGTTGTGTAACGAATCGAAGTATATAATTAATATTATTACAAAATATATAAAATAGTATTGAACACACTCTCCCACACATACACAAGTACCCTCTCCCCTCCCCCCCGGGGAGAACAATAAAACACTCCACACCATAATATAACTACTTGTTAAATAGATTTTAAGAGATTAATTTTTTCAATGAGCTATGTACTTGATGCTAGATTTTTTGTCTGTTATATTTAAGGTGTTAGGCGCTGTATGCTGAAATACAGGTTCACACCAGTTCAGCGTTCAGCGTTTAGCGTCAGATAAACCAGACTATTTTTTTTATATAACTAGCGTAATTTTAGATATAAGTTTTTTCCTGTGAAATAAATTATTATTATTAACGCCTTTAGTACACCTACGCAATCGCATGCGGCAGCGAAACGACGAAAAAACTGTAAGTTGTATGGCAACGTTTCGCATGTGTTTTGTCTCGCTCTATTATATAGCTAGATGAAATAGTTGCGTCCTTGTCGGTATTGTTTCGCAAGTAACTGCGAAATGGCTGTTACACAGACGCAGCCGTTTCGCTAGCGGAGTTTCGCATCGCAATGCGTCACCACGCGTTCTGTCAGTGAGGATAGAATTTCGCACAATGGAAGCCGAAAATATTGAATTATTATAAAATTTGATTCGAAATTATCCCGAATTATATTTAGTTGGGCATGTTAATTACAAAAATGCATACAAAAAAGAGGTGGATGGAGGAAAATTCAAGAAAAGACGGGGATAGATGGTAAGAAATAAAGCTACAATGACATTTCCTTGCGAAAAAACTGCAGTGTACTAACGTTCCGCAGATATTTCGCTACCGCAATTATTTCGCAAAGACTCGCAGCCGCATACGAACGCGTAGGTGTACTAAAGGCGTAAATCGATTAAAAGTTCTAGAATACCGGCATAGATAAGCCGCATGTTTCGTAATATTCTGAGTCGAGGCTGATTATGTGTCCGTCATATTTCGTTGCACATATTTTATTATGTATTTTAATATTGCAGTCTTTTGGGTTCGGTGTTTCCTCTGCCACGTATTATTTACGCGATGTCAGCGGACGGACTGCTTTTCCGTTTCATGGGAGGGGTTAGCGAGAAGTTCCATACACCGATTGTTGGTACAGTTGTTGCGGGGCTTTTTACAGGTACATATTTAACAAAAATTTTATGTTTAATAAATAAGGAGTCCTAGTGCTTTGGGCGTGGGACTATTATCGGGCTGACTGACTGAGGTGGTAAGTTCGAACCCCAGTTGTGCACTAATGTACTTTTCTTTGTGCGTATTTGTCATACAACCTATCAGGCAAAGAGGGCTGATTACCTACTTGCCTTTAAAAAACAAATCATCACAAAACAAATACAGATTTCAAAGGCCAAGGGTTCTAGCGGCAACGGTTTTTTTAAATAAATACATAAATTATATTTCTATAACATATGAAGTGATTCCCGTTTTCGTCACCATGGATACCCTAGATTATGAATGGTTTCGGACCGGACGTCGTAAAACATTGTTCTGAAATAAGTACTTATATTTTTGGTAGTCACTGATCACTGACTTAACTTTGCCTATGATACGAAATAACCATTATCACCTAAGGATTTACTGGCTTTATGACGTCATGGTAGACCCCTGAACTCGAAATGGAATATATTATTAAGTATCGTTAAGGTCGTTTGGCACTGTTGGTGCTTTATAAGGCTGATGATTGCTTTAGAAACAAATACTTAATATGGATTTGTGATATTTTAGGAAAGTAAGATTTTTACCTATATAAAACCACGTAAAGATTGTTTTAGATTAAAGTTAAAATAACGTTGCAGGCACGCTCGCGATGTTATTCGAGTTGGAGCAGTTAATTCATATGATGTCCATCGGCACACTGCTGGCCTACTCCATGGTCGCCTCCTGTGTGCTTTTACTCAGGTACAGAGAATGGATTTTTTTATTTCTGTTTGCTTATTAACTTTTGAAGTGCTTCAACAATATATTGTTTTTAAAATATCTCTTTTACATGACATAATTTTTTAAATAGACAACAGCAAAGTCATACATACAGCATTATACATTGCTTGCTATAAATTGTAATTTAATGACAGAGATGATTGTCAAGCTTCAGTTAAACCAAAATTGTTGGCAAAAGATACACTGTATAATTATGATTGACAAAATGACTCTAAATAGATATTTACTGCCAGTTTTCTTAACTTTATCCACATCTAGTATACATAACGGTATAGAAAATTGAAGATGTATACAATTTGGTTTTTCTAAGATGCGGAAGGAGGCCTCATTCAACTTTTTACACCTTATATATATATGCCTTTGCCGACAGCATCCAATCCACTTGTCACAGGAATTTTTCAAACATTTCACTCACAAATATCATAATTGGTTTGTAGATACGAGCGTACACAGAGTACGCGTACTGCGAGTGAACCAACACGTATGAGCATACGAGGATGCGTACGTCAAGTGTTTAACGTAGACGGCCTGACCACGCCCACACAGCTCAGTGCCACAACTGTCAACGTACTCGTCACGTTATACGGTATATTTTACTACTACTTATTTAATAAAAATACGTGTGACACTCGGGGACTGCCGCGGTAAAGCTATTGCATAGCATTTTTTATAAACTTATGCAATATAATTATTTATTTATTTTTTGCAGTATTTTTTTTCTTTGATATTAATTCAATCTACCACTCTACCAGACTCAGACTAACACGCCTATCCGATCACGCTAAACCGATGTGAGACGCAGTATGCGTTCTGTCCCGCTCTAACGCGTATTGACCGCACCTATATTACGTCATCGTGTGTTAGGTTTATTTCGTTACGGAATTTCTTGATTCGGTCGCCGCGCTCAAAGCCCGCGATAAAATCTATGCAATAGCTTAACTGCGAAAAAGGGGTCTTAGATAATATTAGAGGTAAAATTGTTTTTATAATTGTTAAGACATTTATGAAGACTTGTTACTTTCAAATAGTGTAGTCACATTTCTGCGTTTGTTTCATCGACTAGTTTTATTCCTATTTTAGATTTCTGGGTCTAAAGCTGTCTACACATCGAAGCCGCGGCCGCCGGCACGAACCCGGCGGGCAAGGCCGGCGGCCTTGGTTTTAACGATGTTGCCGGCGGCTTGCGCCCGCGCGATCTACCCCGCGGCACGCCCCTCTCCGCTCTTCACCACCGGTTGCCCACCGGCTTTTAAGAAATAGTGACGTGTCAGTGTTTTTTATCGACTAAACATTATGGAATCCGTTAATGAAGTGGAGAGAAAAATAAAAAATTTAACAAGTCACTAGCAAGCACTTGGCAATCACTAATTATTGTGAACACTGCATGTCGCGACTGTCATGCCGCCGGGAAAATTGTCAGGCTCGCAACTTCTAAAGCCGCCGGGTTCACCGCCGGCCCGGCACTAACCCGCCGGGTTCGTGCCGGCGGGCCGGCGGCTTTGGTGTGTAGACAGCTTTAGACATTACATGTTGTGATGTCCTTCACGGCATAATAATAAGCAAATTCTTATTACCCACATAATGCAATAAAAATTAAATAAGGATACACAATTGAAAATGTTTTAATAAAAATGTATTCCTCTCTTAAAGTTAAATTTAGTATAAACTGATTAATTATTGATAAATCTCGAAATTAAGTCACCATTTACGATTTGAATACCAGAATGTATTACTATTACCTTTTTGTACCTACAAACTCGAAGCTTGTGCATTTGTATATATATCTAAGCATGAATTGTTATATATTTGATAGGTTGACGGTAAATTTATCAGTTTAACGTACGCAACAAATGATAGACAAGAATCTTGCTTAATAATAATAGTTTATTTACAAGAATATGGTACACAAATGTTATGGTGGTACAATCTAAAGTTCGCATATTCTGCCACCCATAATGGCGTGCAAATTTGTTTTCAAAGGTAGAATAGAAGTTGCAATTACATTATGAGTTATATCAGTATAATTTATTATAACTACATCATCACCTTACGTATATTAAAATATATTATTATTACGTTATCAAATTAATTTTAATTATAATGTTTCATGAAAATAATCATTGAAATAATAATATATATATATATATACTAACTATGATGTGTGACTAGGCGTTTGGTGCTTCTTGATGATGGGCAGCATCAGTGGACACGGGGACGCGATCCTGTCAGGCGCTCCAGGCCCGTTGGCGGCGGTGGTGGTGGGATCTTTCCTGGTGCTCACCACGCTCTACGCTATCTCACGGCAACCCGTTTCAGACAAGAAACTCGCTTTCTCGGTGAGTTTTATTACTAAAAGTATCTCGTTGGTTTATTTTTAGTGTTTTATTGACTGATTAAAAAAACCTGGTTACATATAAAATCTGTCTTAAGGATTGCAGATTTATTCGCAGTATGACTTGTATACTATACGACACGCTTGTATCGACAAAGGATATAGATTTGTATGTTTTTTGTAAACTTATACATTTGTTTGAAATGTATTTATATTATCTTCACAGGTTCCTCTGGTACCGTGGCTGCCCGGTCTCAGTATTCTCATCAACGTTTACTTAATGCTGAATCTCGACTACATGACGTGGATTCGATTCTCCGTCTGGCTAGCTGCTGGTCAGTATTTCTTTATAATTAAATTAATTATTTAGAAAAAGTAATTTTATATGCTATACACTTTTGTTAAGTATTTGCAGAATGTAAGGAAACAAATATTTGTCCATATTTTTTCCCCACGTGAAGTCGACGTGGTTCATCTCTTTGTATTCGAGTAGAGTGAATTGGACCGTGTTCCTCAAAGCCTCTTTCAAAACCTCAACATCTTTTTGTCTGGCCAGTTTGTCATTTTGTCCACAGAGCAATGCTACAGACATGGTAACTTTCCTTAGATCATAATCTGGAGGCTCTACAGATCCATACACTTCAATATTCCCATCTCCGTAATCGAACTGTGAAAACCTTCCACGTTTACGTATTTGAGCAAAGTGGTTGAGATTTTTCAAAGAAATACTCATAGGGAATTTCATGCGAGTCACTTTATAGTGGAAATCGTAATCATATTCTAACAAATCGTAGCCGGCTATAGGAAACACAAATCCAAACGAACATAAAAAGTATCCCAAGAAGGGCAACGAACATATCCCTCTGTGTATAAAACCCGTTAGAGAATTTCCGAAAACTTCATACTGCTGCAAACTCCTGCCAATGGTTATTAAATCTGATGAAACGTCGATTAAAAGTGACAGAGGCGGTCCTAGATTTCTTAAGAAAGCAATTGGCGCTAAGGAGATTAACAAATTGACTCTATCGTTGTACTGTGGTCTAAGGGACGCCATCACGTAAAATATAGTGTTACCTTGTGAAAATCCTATCGCATTGAGCTTGTTTGTGCCAGTTCTTGATAGCACGAAATCTATGATTGCTGGAAGATCATAAAGTCCGTGCTCGTGGAAGCTAAAGTTCCAGTAAGCGGATGCGTCGTTATCAGCATCTAAGTACACGTGTCGCCGGGAGTAGAGGTTACCCCGACAGTTTCCTAGCCACACGTCGTATCCTAAATTTGCGAGAGAGATGCCTAACGAGTTGTTACCTCTGATGATCCAGGAATCACTAGAGTCCATTATACCATGCATCAGCAACAGAGGCAGACCCCGATATCCGGGCAGGTGGAAGATTCCCAAGATGTATCCATCCTCAGTGATGACATGGTACTCTTCGGCGGGGTGACCATACTGTATTGAAAAATATGCTGTATTCTCACTTAAGGTAGATAGCACGCATAGTTTTATGGTTAGTAATAGAATAATTTCGCCAGCCATAATTATCTAAACCAATTTGAAGATAACAATAATATCTCGATTCACAAGGAGATTTCTTTTTATTTAAAAACAAAAAAGTGTCATCATTATACGATTGTTTTATAGTAACATACGAATCGACAATATAATTAATTAAAAACAAATGAACAGATTATTTTAGCTGTAATAATGTTAAAATCGTATCGCGTTCACAAGATATACACTGAATGAAATCGATATTTAATTCTTATTTAATGTACATAATTATGTCAACAAATTAAGAATATCATAATGATTTCAATATTTATTAATAACCAAGGGCCTTTAAAATATATGGATACAAGTAATCGGCCATAGTCCTGCCCCAGATGAAGTCAAGGTGGTTAGCTTCAGTTCGCGGAAGCACTACAAACTGCTTGACATTTGGCAGCTGATTTCGTAAGGCTGCATTCTTGATTGTCGCCAGCTTGTCTCCCCGCCCTACCATAATGACTACAGGGCTGCGTACGTTTGTCAAATTATATTTTGGAGGAATAGAAGCGTTGTAAACAGCCATATTTTTAAGTGGACCGTAATCGTACTGTGCAAACCTGCCAGTCCGTCCGACTTGGCCTTAGTGTATCAAATTCTTTCGCGATGACCCAACCGGAAAATAATAGTTAGTGATGCGATAGAAAGGAGGTTCTAACTGATCAGGATCGTAACCGGCTATCGGGAAAGCGTACCCATAAGCGCATGCCGCGTAGCTCAATTTGGGGTCCGTACACAATTTTCTCAATTTTACAGTTAGCTGACTGTTGTATCCAAAGAATTCATTCATTACTAGCTTCTTCAAAATAACATTTATCTCAGGGGAAAATACAATTGAATACAACAGAGGTGATTGAACGTTGTTTAAGTAAGCTATCGGCGCGAGATAAATTGTCAAATTAATTTTAGCATTATATTCGGGTCTGGTGCTCGTGAGTACTGTAAACATGGTATTCCCTTGCGAATAACCGATGGCATTTATTTGTAATGAGTTGGTTTTGTTTAACACTGTCAATAGTAGTCGCCAAGTCGTAGTAGCCGTGCTCGTGGAAGGAGAAATCCCAAAATTCTTTATCTATATCCGGGTTCAAGTGGACATGTCTTCTGGAGTACACGTTTACCCTAACATTTGCAAACCAGAGGTCATGCTTTAATTTTCCTAGTACAATGGGTAGAGACGTGTGCCCAAGTAGTAGCCAACTGTCAGCTGCTAGCTCTATACCGTGCACAAGAAGAGTGGGCGGTTTTAATAGACCAGGGATGCGGTATATACCGATAATGTAGCCATCTTCAGTGACCACGTCGTATTCTTCAACAGATTACCAACAAAACCGCAAGCTCGATAAAGTTCAAGCGATCTCCTCTCTGGTCAATGGCGGTTATCACGGATACTTTTAAAAATACACTTTTGCTATTTATCAAAATAATTAAAGTAATTGCTTTAAATTCATTTACAACGTCAAAATGAAATATTTTCATATTTTAGGTAAAGCGTAAATGTACCTTGTCACCAATATCAAAGGCACACTAAACTGCCTTATCATGATAATTATGTATTTCAAGTTTATTTCTGTAATAAAATAGGAATATATCAAACGTGTATTCGATAGAACTGAACTGACTTTATTATTTGAAATAAATAGGATTTTTAGTGCACTAAATTTCAAGATGCTTCATATGTCAGTAATTATTATTTTCTAATGCGTCGAAAATAATCGGGAACAATATCAATTTTGTATGCTCTCCCCAAGTGAAATCCAAATGATTGAACCGTTTCTGAGAAGGAACGATATATTTAACCACATTAGGGAGGTTTTTTCGCAAACGGTTAACGTTTTTGAGTGGTGCCAACTTATCGTTTTGACCGGCTATCAAAATAATCCTCATCGACACTGCGCTCAGGTTGTAACTTGGTGGGCGTGTGCGATTGTAATACTTTACGTTATCATGGCCGTAATCAAATGGTCCGAAACTTTTTCTTTTAAAAATTTGCGAGTAATGTATCAAGGTCTTCCTTGGAAATCCCGCGGGAAAATGTCCGAATATTATCGGATTGAATTCTGAACTTATCTCCTCATTGTCAAAACCTACGAGTGGAAAAAGCAGACTATTCATACAAATTTCGTATCCTATATCAGGCTGGGAGCAAATCAATTTTGCGAGCTTTTGCTGCAGTACAGTTTCACCAAATAGCTCATGTATATTGAATGCTAACAGAATATTGTTAATGATTTCTGCGTTCTTACTTAGCCAAGCCACTGGTTTGTGAGGACTATGAAAATAAGCTATTGGAGCGAGGGCTATTAAAACATTTATTTTACTGTTGTATTGCGGTCGGTTAGATCCGAGCACGTAAAAGACCGTGTTCCCTGCTGAGTGGCCAATAGCATTAAGTTTCTTAGCGCCAGTAACTTGAAGAATGAAATCTATGATAGCCGATAAGTCGTATATTCCAAAATGGTCCAAATCGATATCCCAAAAGGCCGCATCTTTATCGGGGTCTAAGTTTGTATGTTTTCTTGAGTACGTGTTGCCCCTAAGATTACTCATCCACACGTCATAATTGGCATTAGCCAAAGTAATGCCTAGTGAGTCGTTTCCTCTCAGGATCCATGTCGCAGAAGAATCCAGTGTGCCGTGTTGAAGTAGGACAGGTATATCGCGACTTCCAGGAAAGCGATGGAGAGTCAAAATGTATCCATCTTCAGTATTGACTTGGTACTCTTGAGGAGGATGTCCGTATTTTGTTGCCAATTCTTGGAAACTTAGCCTCCCACTTGCCCGTATATCGCAGGGGACGACTACATTCAAGAAAGTGTAGTACAAAAAAATTACCTCAGTACTAAATACACCCATTTTTATATTTGGAACATTAAATCTTATATTTAGGCACACTTATTAAATCAACTCAAGCCTATCACAGTTTTGGCTAGACTGGCCGGTAAATGTGTATCAGTTCACCTTTCTTAATTAAAACGACAATGTTGAACATAATATTATATAGTAAATATTGACCTTGCGAATATATTCGTTTAGTCAATGTCGAAGCGATTTTAAAACAATTTCATTCGAGGATTTATTATTAACCTTAATACCTAAATGTGAACGTAATAATTATGACAATACTTGGCGATTAAAAAGAGTGGCGGAAAGTTTCTTGCCAGTTCTTCTTACCCGCTCTACGCCCTTGACTTGCGAACTGGTAGTAAATGTAAATTTACAAATAATTTAACTTGACAATTCATAAGTGTAATTGTTCACCTACATGAATAAAAATATTTTGAGTTTGAGTTTGATATAGTCTTATCAGTGCGAAAGATATAACATGGGTTTTAAATCAAAGCTAAAGAAAGGGATGCAAAGATGAATTTCATTTGTTATATGTATCATATTTATTTAATGCTTAAAGTGCAAAAATTTGAATATCTTAATATATATAAATTACGTGTCACGTTGTTTGTCCGCTATGGACTCCTAAACTACCGAACCGATATCAATCAAATTTGCACACCGTGTGCAGTTTGATCTAACTTAAAAGATAGGATAGCTTACATCTCAATTTATACCCGCAATATTATGTTATTGCAAATTATTTTTTTATAATTTGACACAATTGTAACAGATTGCGCTGTGTTGAAAGTACCAACGTTTCACATAAGCTGCAATTTAATGGCAAAACCACCAAAAAAAGCATGGTGGTACCCATGACTGGTGTTCTCCTACCGTTTCCCTTGAATAGTTTACTACTTTGTTATATAACAGAAACTTTAGCCACAGCAACGCTTGGCCGAGTCTGCTAGTAGTGAAATATAAACTTACAAGTTCATTCGCTTATGAAATATTTGTATATATGTATTACATAATTTGAAGAAAAACAAATTACAATTATGAATGTTTAATACTTGGCAGGTCTTCTAATCTACCTCACATATGGCGCATGGCACAGCGCGGAGCGTCGGCGCTCGCCCGATGTTCAATTGGCTGAGCTGCACAATGACAGCCACACGGCGCTTTTGCAGCACGCTGGAGCTGCCCACGTCCTTGGATGACCTTCGACGGACCCGGCTGAACCTACTAGCCCAACCAGTCCTACCGGTACCGTCATCTCTTTTATATCAAGCATTTAGTTTACTCCTATTATTAATGTCAAGCAAGAGACTTAAGACTTAATGGTATGGTTAGCTAAATTTATATCAAAAGTTGTAATTACTACCTATTTTTCTATTGATATAAAATTTCATACCTGCGTATGTTTAGGTAGCAATTACGACCTTTGAATAAGTATTTAAAAATTTTTAGCAATTTGTTTACGAATATTTTAGTATAAATTTGAGCATTTCATCTTATTAGGACAATTTATGTTAACCATTAAGAGGCTTTGTTTATCTTAACTCAATCATTGAAGTGTAGGCTACGTTTAGTTGGAATTGTTTAGCGCCAGAAATGTTAAGATGGATAAGATTGCGGTGAAAAATAATATCTAGAAGATAAAAAAAAAACTTAAATTAAATCATGAATTTGTCACTTTAAACACCTTTTAACCTAATTGTAATCTGGTAACTACCACAACGTCGCATCATCGTGTCACTGAGGATATACGGCTGTGGAAGTAATTAAATTATAAAATATTTCTAAACTTGTACTTGTGTCTGTAAAGAATGTTGTTATTATGACTATTAGATGTATAATTTCCGTTCTATCAAACAATTTGTACATTTTTAGAAGTATTTGCTTATTTTTTATTTTTTTTTTTAGATGTTACATACAAGTGTAACGTTCACTACGTCCTATTAGGTAGTGATGAATTATTGTTAATTTGAGTTGAAAACCATTATTTTACTATTGTTATAACATGTTTGGCCTCATTCATTGCTTGCCTACGCCATACATACAAAAATCATAATCAAACATTGGACGTTTTATAATGTCTGTGATAAATGTTCATGTCAAAAAAATTGCAGCGCCTCTGGTGGTTGTGCGATATATCTTACCATAATTCGTTTAGAACTGTCAAACTTATAGAAGATATCTCTATCTCTCTCGGCTTTCTAGCCTTAACGTAGCCTAAATGACCAAATGCATCGTAGAATCTCATTTGCCGTTTCTTGTATTTTGCCAAAGTATTGTTTTAGCATAGTGATTAGTATAAGAGGAAACAGACCGCGTTTTATCATTTTATAACGAAAATATATATATTTATATATATATATTTTTTTGTTTATTTTTTTTTTTTAATTTTGTTTGTATTTTAATTTTTAAGACAGATTTTCCAACATTTTACTGCCAATAATTTGACATTAACCTAATATTTTTTATTGATTGTATTACATGTACTTAGAAGTGTAAACTTCAGTATTATTCGATCTGGCTGTGAGACAGCGGTAGTGTGTTAGTTAATTTTATATTTCATTTTGTTAAATCGTTTAGAACGCTTGTTGTTCAGCTTATTAAATTGACTTAAAATATTTATATTTTGTTTTAATTCAACCCCTTTTTGTTTTGTTAACATGAATAAAGCTAAAGGCCCCGTATCAGAATTAAAAAATAATTTTTATTTTGCAGATTTTGTTATTAGATAATTGTAGTTCTGAGAGGTTTATTATTTTACAACAATAAAAAAAAATCATTCATGATATAAAGAGCGTAAAATCTGATATTTTTTAAACATTTATTTATACATGAATCACAGTTAATTTAGCTAAATCTTAAATATAATCACAACGTATGCGTGCACTTACGTTATCTAACAGAACAATGTGGCAAGACAAAATTAATTGGAATTAACAAATGACAGTACTGGTTATTTTGTAATCCCTGAACTTATTTGTTATTTATAAATTATAGTTAATGCTAAATTTAAGTACATAATTTATTTTACTTACGCTATTTATAATGTCTTGTGGCACATGCCTTTGTGCCTGTCAGTGGTGAATATGACTCGCAACGCACTCAAATGTAGGGTTCCAATACGTACAAAAAAATATACATGTAATAAAATTTCATAAATATTTAATCCATATTTTTTATGCTTACGTAATTGTTGGAGCTTTCTGTCTTATGAAAAAATTTAATAACATATATTTTAGCTTTATTGAGCTGAGAGATAAGTATTAACCAGTGAAATAGTTTAAAACTATATTGTTGGAACCCTACTCAAATATCACAGTACTAATTAAAACATCACAGTACATTTATACTATAAGCTTATATCTATTTGACTCAATATTTGCCGTTTTACTTCGAACTATTCGTCTATAACAAGTCTGCGACATAACTATGTACAGAAGATATTAAAGAAAACGTTATTTGATCAGCTTTAAACAGCAGAAGAGTTTTATTTTTGTACAATTATATTTATTATTAGTAACAAGTTATTCATCTATGTATGTCGTACTCAGATCGGAGATTTGATCATTTAAAATGTGGCCGAACATGTATATCGTTAATGTGGGATTTAACTAAAAATTTCCTTAAATGTGCCATTAAAAATAACCACATTTAATTACGTTACGATCTTGCGATTGTATTATTATCATTGACCGCAAATCAATTATCACGGCCGCATCATGATCAAATCAACGACATTATCTTTACATTAATGCTCTGGGGATTCATATGTAAAAAGTTTGAATCATAATACAATGATGAAGATAAATCTCCGTAATCGATACAATGCACAAAAAATTTAATCATTAACGTCGTGTCGTATCAACAAGTCCTGTCATCGTAAGGCTAATATTTTGTCGTTAAATAAATCAAAACTTAGTAATAACATGTTTTTCTTCAACCTTTCCATTCGTGTGGGAATCGTCATGTTTCTTTTCCTTTAGGGAACTATTGCTGATGCCGTAAAAGAAATATATTAGGTATCCTGAAAATAATATTTGCATATTAAAATACACTGTGCAACTGTGAAAAAATCAACAAGCCTGTTATGTACGTATATATACATGTATATCGCGCTTCCTCAGAGCTCTGGCTAAGCGATTTTGAGGATTTAGAGAGATTTATATTAATAGTACATAGAAACTATGGTTCTTTTGAAATCTTAAATTATTCAAATAAACTTAACTAATTAGTGAATTAAGGTATATTTGGGTTTGTGAGTAGATCTTTAAGAACTTACCGACTGCAAGCCAGAGGATAAAGCGCACCCAAGTGTGGTAGTCGAGTTGCACCATGAGATAAACGTTCATAATCACGCTCAAATACGGTACAAGCGGAACCAGAGGGACCTGCATCATAGCAATGTATATACTTAGTAAACACTTCGTTTGAAGTCATTGATTTTTTTATAGAAACATTTATTGTTTTTGCCGGGAATCGAACGAGTGCAGTAGAGTAGCAGATACAATATAAAGCTGCAGGTAAAGTAATAAACCATTTATTTATTAATAAAAATTTACGAATTAGATGAATATATTATGGTATAGTTTAGTTTTTAAAAATGAAGAACGAATTTGTTACACTCACGGTAAAGGTAAGATGTGCGACGTCTCGTCGTGGCTGGCGATACAGCACTAACAGTAAAAGGAGCAGCAGAATGCCCAAAGCACCTGTCGCCACCCAAGCCCCCTCACCTATTACCTCCCAACTCATTGTACCGCACGCCGCTAGAGACACCACAACTGAAAGAATCAATAGGTTCTTACAGAATTCATACGGTTATCGCGATCCTTTTTACTTTTTCTTGGATCATGTTTTTTCATAATTAGGAGTTCGAAACTTGTTAAAAGGAGATTATTTGAATTATGAATTTAATGTTATATAAAAATAAAATAAACACATTAAACAGAGGTGACTAGTCACAGAGGTAGTACGATAAACGTTATCAAAATTATAAAGAAATAACACTGAATATACACTTGAAAGTTTTAAAGCATTTTATAAATAATGTTTATGTAAATTTTATCGATAGATGGCTATGTTTCATGAGTATACTAACAGAAGATGAATATAGTGCATTTGGCGATGGTGGAAGAAAGCATCGTAGGCTCTTTAAGTCCCAGCAGATTAAACAGCTGTTTCACCACGCTCCAAGGCGTCTCTGGTAGGGACTTTAGCCCGTTTATTATAATCGAGCTGTCTTCTTCGTATCTGAAATATAAATATAGCACTAAGAATGCAACGTGCGTTTATAATTCGGTCATAAGTAATGTACTACCAAGTAAAAAGGTAATGTTCTGTTTCTTAAACATCTATGTCTAATCGAGAGAATATTATGCTAAAAACAGTAGTGGTACCCGAACCGATTGACAAAAACTGTTTGAAAATGTTCAGAATTACAATATAGATCACGCACCTTAAAATTAGCACGCTTATAGCTACAATGGTATAGGCCATGAGCGTTCCAATGGACATCATGTCTATCAATTGGTTTAGGTTAAATATGGCTGCCATTGTTGCTGGAATATAAATGTATTGATTAGTCTTCTGAGGTGAAAAGAATATTGGGACTAATATTGTCTATACCAATATTGAAGATGTAGCATATTACTTTCATAATAAAAATCTTTCTGGAACAAAATATAAGGATATGGTAATTTTTGTTTTTAGTTTTGATTATAATTAAAAATAATGTAAACTTTCCAATTGATGGATTTTAAGGATTTAAAAAAAAAATACATACTTCGAACAACAAAATGATATTTACCTGATAGAAGCCCACTGAAGGCGGTTGCAAGCAGCGGGGTCTGTGTGCGGCGATGAATACGAGCTAGGGGCCGAAATAACACGCCATCACTGGCCATGGCGTATAGCACACGAGGAAGCGGGAACATGGCGCCCAAGAGGCTGGTGCATAGTGCGAATATGGCCCCAATGGTTACGATCCATCCCACCGATGGTAATCCCGCCACTCCAAATACGTGTGGAAATGGCGCGTCAGCGTCCTAGACACAACGATGATGTTAGCTAATGTCAACATAATAGGTCAATTCAAATACTATCACAAAGCAGCCTAAACATTCAGCTTGGCATGTTTGGTTGTCGCGGCAGCATGCGTAATGTCTTTTTCCGTCGAAAAATGATGAATTGTTAGGGTGATACCATTATTTCTGAACTAAGCGGTAAATCAATGTACGTAAATCGGTCTTTGTGTGAGTCAAGAGCTGTTATTCTATTGTTGTGGTAAATAAATAGTACCTATAAAGTTGAGTCGAACGCGTACAACTATATGAAATATGGATTATTTATATTAAGGGTAATACCATTATTTCTGACTGGATAGTTTTATATTTTTTTACCGTTATTACAGAAAATGCTTGTGTGTTTCTGACACTTGAAAGTTTGATACACATTTTATACACTATGTAGATGGTGGACATCTGTTATCATTGATTTTAGTTTTAATATTTTAGGATCAAAATTACCTGCAAGTAGTAAGGCAGCATCATTGTCAAGACTGTCGCGATGGTAAAATAGGATATGAATATGATGACGAGCGACAAGATGATGGAAAGCGGAATATCTCTTTTCGGGTTCTTGGCTTCCTCGCCAGTGGTGGCTACGCAGTCGAAGCCCACAAAGCCAAAGAAACACTTGGCAGCGCCCGCCATCACTCCAGCCACACCCCACGGCATAAAGCCACCTGCGCCTGCTGCCTCACGATATTCCTCGGGAATGTCTTCCACTGCTATCCGCCAGTTTGAGGGGTCGCCTGTATGTGTGGCAAATTGTAAAAATATAAGAAAGTCCGAAAAAAAAGAAATACTTTTAACTAATAATTATTTTAATATTTCGCAAGCAAAACTGCTAACGATTACTTACATAATAAATTGAATAAATACATGGAACATACAAATCGTGGTCTTAATTAAAATATAATACTTTACGTAGTCGGTCCCAAAGTTCTGTCATAAATGGAAATAATGATAAAAACAAAAGTACTGATCAGTTTGTAATGAGTGATATATCAATTCTTAGTACATTAATTAAGGAATAAAAAAAGCATAAAAATATTCGAAATAACCTCCCTCATTTTTAATACAGGCCCTTAAGGGCGGCCAGTCGTCTATCGCAGCACGCACCATATTCGTGTCGATTTCAGTCACTGGTTTTTTTAAAGATGACTTCAGATTCTCCAAATTTTCATGAGGTTTATCACAGACCTTCCTCTCTAAGCCCTGTCATAATTTTCGGGTCCAAAGGATTAAGGTCGGACTGGAGGAAGGCCAATCCTCATGTCTAATTAAGACGATGTTTTGACGCTCAAACCAGGCTTTAGTGGTCTTGGCTTTGTATGCAGACGCAGAGTCCTGCTGGAACACGAAGTGATGTCCCGCAAATAGGGTGTGGACATGTCTTTGACAAGGCGATACAAAACCGTCTCTTGGTACACTGTAGCACTGGTTTTGACCCCTTTTCGAAAAAAATTAACCTCAGTTAGCCCGTAATAGGACACTCCCAACCAAACCATTACTGATGATGGATGATGTCCATGTTGCACCCTTGGAACTTTATTTTCAGCTTCTTCAGAACTCCTAGCGTAACTGTATAATTCTGTTTATTGTACTTCTCTTCAATATCGAAAAATTTTTCGTCCGTAAAGAGGATATCACGGTGTCGGTTTTTCGCGTACCGCTTAAACAACACCCGCGATCTCTTAAGCCTTATTGCTTTTAGACGAGCATAAGTAAGTGCCACTCTTTTTTTGTATGCGTAGACCAAGATCTTCATTTAAAACCTTTTTACTGTTTTCCTACTGACACCCATCTGCAAATCCATCAACTTCTGTTTTCGGACAGGATTTCTACTATGGCTTGAAGGATATTGGTGTTTTGGGAGGTGGCAGAGTTTTTTCTTGTCCTCAAATGGAGATTCAAGGTACCTATCAATAGTACCGTACACAAACCTAAGCGTTATATTCAAATTTTTGAGCAACTTGAAAATGGTACTGGGAGTGTCAAGGGGCAACGCAATAACAACTATTCGGTTTACTTTCAATGTACTATCGTGAAAAATTACGGAAAGTTATTGTTTTTGTTTTAAAACAATAATCAAACATTCCAAAATAGAATGAATAATTTTTTATAAAATCTGCCCGAAATGTAAAATAATTGAGTACAGAATTTGGGAAGTATATATGCTGGATTATATATTATATACTTCACGACACTTTTAAATGGTAAAAAAATTAAAAAATTCATAATGAAAAAAAAGTGAGAAGTCAATATTAACGCTTCTATAACATCAAGTAGTATATTTCTTGCCATTTTATGTACATATTCATAATATTTTCTCTTCGTGTATTAAGCTGAAAAGTGTCAATGCATCACAAGCTAGACCTATTGTTTCGCCTTGTCACTTTACAATACACAATAGACTATTTATATTTTACGTTTTATGATTGTGCCCTAATAATATTTTATCATCATCATGGCTAAACATAATCTCTGATAATAGGTATTGTTATGTCCGAGCATTGACTGAAAACATCTAACGACGAACAAAATCTGTTAAAAAGTACTTAGCGGTGCATCAAGATTTATATACTCTATTCGAGTGTTGTGGTAAAAAAATACTATGGAGTTAAGCCAAACGCGAAGAAACATTCATAGTACAACTCAATGAAATAAAGATTATTTATTATTTATGAATTTGGAAATTCTTATGTATTTATAAATGTTTTCTTAAAATCTATTATGTTTAAAAGTAAAGTTAGAGTAGACTTACTCTGGGTGGCGCCAGCAATAACAACGATAACGACAGTTGCCATATTGAGTGCCGTGAAGACATTGTTTAGTTTTGTTGACTCGCGCACCCCCACGCCGAGCAAAACTGAAAATATTGAAAACAAAATTTTAAATATTATTTATAAAATTTTCTCAATCTCTAGAGGTAGACACGAATTTAAAATTAAGAGCGTAATATTTTAAGAAGAAAATATTCATCATCAATAAGGCGCTCCAGCCCATCGTAACTCGGCCTAGTCCTCCAGCGGAAACAAAAGTACAGAACAGACCGGAAGAACCTCCAGCCGGTCCTGTTCTGTACTTTTTGCTCTGTGATTCGAACACGAAAATATTAAAGAACAAAAAACAGCACAACAATGTATATGACAATACATTTAGTATTCATTGGACGAAGGATGACTCAACAAACTTACAGCAGATTTATTATTAACAAAAAAAATATATAATAATATAATAAGAAATACTAACTTGTAATAACAAGGACAAGTCCGAACGCAAAGAAATCAGGATACTCGGCAAGGAAAGAAACATTAATCGGGGCAGCGGCTGTCAAGGTGCGAGCCATGGTATTATTGCATATGCTGTCGATGTAATTCGACATGCCCTTGGCAACACTGGCCGTGCCGATCACATACTCCAGGATGAGGTTCCAGCCTATGGTGAATGCAATGAATTCACCCACGCTCACATAGCTGTACACATACGCTGATCCAGCTCGAGGTACGCGAGCCGCGAACTCCGCATAGCACAGTCCTGTTACAATATACAAATTATAGGAAAATATTCAAATCTATGATTTCAATTAGGTATTAATATTCTTTCATTTATATACGATATGTATACAGAGAAGTAGCTAAACGCCAATAGCTATCTCAAGGCATTACTTATATTAAAAGATTTCTAACATCTAAGGTATATTGACTTTTAAGACACGTACATTGTACAGCACAAAGTTATTATATAGTACATAGATGAAATGACACAAGCCATGTTGCTTGATTTCTTATGTGATAATTATACGTGACTTTGTTGTTTTTGTCTAGAGGGTAGACCGTTCCAACTTAATTTTTCATGGTATATGAAACTGTCAACATTTTTCAGTACAGTAAGAATGAATGAATGGCGCGAATAATTTTTCTCCACCAATTTCGGCCCTGCGCTTCTTTTCAAACCGTGTATAATTTTGAGGACGATGACAAGTCTTTGACTTGATCAGTCCATCTCGTTGGTGAACGTCCAATCACGATGAGCTTTAAACAATCAATCTTTTGCTTTTCTCGGACTAAAATTGTCCACGAATCTGCTCCATATAAGAAGATAGATATTTTATCATATAAAAAGATTTTAATTAACTGAAAACTTATTTATACGAATTATTAACAAGGACTGGATATGTAAAACAATATGTTTACTAAGTTCACAATCTTGTTTTGCGAGTCGTTTTGGGGTCATTTGTATTTTGCATATTGCGCTAACAGATGTATAAACATAAATTTTTTTACTTTATGCAAAGGTTTAGCATTCTCTTAAATTAAACTAGGTCGAGACGATTTCATATTTTATCAACGTTTTTGGATTTTTATTGCGAGTTTAAAAAGGCTTTCTCAATTTAATTATGTAAGTCTCACATAGTAATAGTCATTAGTTATACTTATTAAACATGTTTTGAGTACCAAGTGGTGGTGGTAGAGGTCAGATCAATTTAGGGCCAGGTAAGTTCGTCGTTATACATACGGTGAATATATAAGGAAAATATTTGTAGTTTGGCAATGGAAATGAAGTCGGTGAGTTCCAAATAACATTGAGGGTACGGCTTCTTAATAGGTATTAATACATAGTTTTCCCTTTGCACACTCTCGTATAGATATATTTTACAAATCAGCTATTTGTATTTTAATGCGATAAATTGAAGGACTGTTATACATAATAAAATCATAAATACAAACTTGTTCTAGTAAGAAACGTGTTATAAATTATAAAATACATTTTATGCAGACAATTATTGGCTGATTTGTATTGAGCAATCGTTGAAATAGATCGGACAGTGTGAACAAGGTCAGTTCGTTTGATTTGTTTTATTCACTGGTCACACGTGCGGCTGCTGCTTTGTTGTATTGGGGAGCGTTCAAGTATTACGTAACGAATTTTGGGGGTCCTTTTGTAAAACGTTACGATGCGGGGCGGGGATTGAATTACGCGTTATTTTTAATATTATTTTCGACTTTCCAGTACTTTACACCACATAATGGTAACTTTTAGGTATAAAGAGTCACTAGGTGGTCATGAAACATTTTACTATACTTGGATACAGAAAAACGTTACGGCGCGTTACAAGGGGGGCTTCAATAATCTCCAAAAATTGCGTGACGTAATACTTAAACGATCCCTTGTACAAAAGCCTTAGTAAATTACAGAATATCTGTTTTCATTTAACAACACTGAACCTCTCGGAAATATCCATATATATTATAGACGTTAGAGATTATATCCCTTCTTCATATACAAAGTATATTTACATATTATTCACAAGACGTCGTAAAGCAATATTATTTTATAAATAACGATTAATTGTAAGTTGTACCAGCGAAAGCAGAGGCAACGGCAGCGACGAGGAAGCTCAGAGTAACGGCAGGCCCGGCTACTGTCTTGGCGACGGCACCGGCTAGAACGTATACGCCTAGACCCAAGGTGCTGCCCACTCCCAGCGCCGTCAGGTCCAGTAATCCAAGGCACCGCGCCAGCTCGCTACCACCTTGACTGTCATCCAGCCGCTTGCAGCGCCGCAGCGCCGACAGTATCCTAGCGCAACCCATCTGTAATTATAACGTGCAATTAATTTTGTATATAGTTTTTAAAACAAAATTTTGGATACCAAAACTGATCAGTTTATTTCTGTTCTATGTATATGTATTGATAATAACTTCTCAACGACCTACTATTTTTTTATTAATATAGAATTTTGCGTTTGTAGTCGAAAGGTTTTATGAATTTATGATTGGCTTTTAATCGTATAAGAAAGGATTATGTGCAATAAACCATGATGACTGCGTTAAATCGCAGCTTATCACGACGAGAATTGTTTTATTGTTTCATTTTTAGATATTAATATAGCAGATTTGATTGTTTATGTGTTATCCTCGGTTACAACATTTTTTTACGTAATACTGGCTCGTACTATAATGGCAAACATCTTGAGGAAACCGGTATTAACCACCAGAAATCGACTACCTACGTGTGTGAGACATAAATGATTAATTCGTTTAAATGCAGAAAGTCGTTCTATTTCTTATTGGGAAGTAATTACATTTTTAATTGTATAGAACATTTTAAAGAAGTTTAATACAATCTAAATTATAAACATGATGTAAGATTAAACAATGGTGGCATGGCAGTTATGTCTAAGTTAAACTATAATATCGAATCATTCGATTCAATATTTAACATCTGAATTTTTTAATTGAACTAAAATTAAAAAAAAATGTTAAAAACACAATTTTTTTATTAGAATTTATCGGTGACTGTTGATTTTTACTTATGTTTGCAGTTGACTATCCATTGATGTCAAAAAATTATACGATTTTTTTTCCTTATTCTAACCGGTCCATACCTGGCAAGTGACAAGCGCTTTTTTATATGAAAAATCCAGTTTTATTTCTTTCAAAGATAAAGTTTCCATTGAGAAACATTTATACTGAAGGGAAGGTATTTCCCCTTTAGGTGGTTTAAAAAAAAACACAAGTATTGTATCTACGTTATTTCTATGTAGGTATAAGAATGTTTGTGATATTAAATAGTTTATAAATTATATTTTTTTATAATGGCGAATTAAAAGAAATGTACACTCGTACTTATCGCCTTATTTAATCAATTCACTCAAATATAGTGAATATTACACACATACAATTATAAAAAGCTAATTATACTATTGCGCACTTCTTTTTACCTGTTATTATGTAACTTAACTTTTCTTCTTTCTTTAATTAATAATCCTTTATCCGACGATCGTTTAGGTTTTATACAAGACATTTTGATTCTAAAAAACATAATTTCAATGTGTATAAAACGAATCTCAATTAAAACACCGCCTTCCAACCATGACGATACCTTGACCGCTACGGTTTTTGAACATTCAATAATGAATTTGACTTACACGATTCGTATATACTTCCTGATTTCATGAACCTATAATTTGATGATGCAAATGATGAGAACTCGTTTTTTTGCACACAACAATAGATTTTGAATATTATTAGTAAGACAGAAACATAATGACGAAGGTACGTACGTAATAATAAAATTTAAAAGGCTTATTGTGATATTTTGTCTCAAAATAAAATATTTAAAGCACTCACAGGTTATTAGTGATCAGCAGTTCGACAGGTGCTGAAATTCACGGGATGATATGACAAAGTGGTACTAAAAGTGATTGTCACGAACTGTTTACAGACGTGGTGTATCTTTACGGCCGTAAGCTCTGCAAACTGCGATAGTGACTCGCGGATAAAATTATACATACCTGCATTGTTTTTTTTCCTTGATATCAATGGCAAACAGGTATACATGTTTATTATTAAAAGGTTATCGAGATGATGGCAGTCTAAATAAAATACCAAGCCTGTAGCTGCTTAGTTTTACGATTCTGCTAGGTAGCCTAGGTTATTGAACTGTTAATTATTATGTTAACTACGCTCGGAAATATCTACTCCGATGCGAAGAAAGACAAAATCATTTGTGTATATTTTTATATTTTAAATCCCGATTGAAATGCTGAAACCCGTATGCTTTTGTTATTTTGTAAATTATAGATAGTTGGATTTATCTTATGATATTTAGATAAAAAAGATAGATTAGAATACTTTTATTTGCACTCTAAATATTTTCCATTATAGCACTGTGTACATTTGGTAACAAGAACGAGAAACATCTACTAAATAACTTTTAACATTTTAACTGCTTTTAGAAGTAACTGTGGATACGCCTACATATTCTGGAATGGATTTCATGGAATGTGGTACAGATATATTTAAGGATTATTATAATAGGAACTACATCTTAAAGGATAGATAATAATTATGAGAGGTTCAAAGGATGACCTTAGGATCATAGAAATTTAGCCCGTCTTAATAATTTTATTTATTGACCTCTAATTTCGATGTTAAGATTAGTTTATTATTTCCAAGATTGGAGACAAATCTCAATATTGACCTGAAACATTACCTTAATGAGAAATGCTTCAAATAAAATGACTTGACTGTTGTATTGTCTGTGGTTGCACAGATACAGTAATTATATTTAGACGATGATCTTGTAAAATGATAGTGAATGATATTTGTCTGTCATTGTTGTGGAAGGCTTAGCAGATTACTTTGTCTGTTACTCGCAACCGAACTGTTTGCTGAGCCAACGACCCGCTCACCAATATTGATAAAAATAAATAAGAATTTATTAATGGTACCGTTTTTATTCAGTTGTAGGACGTTCCAAACCGAGGATATATCACTCACATCATTATACATAAGCCAATAACGGGATCACAGAGTGAATTAAAATAACGGCAGCATAGTAAACTTTTTTATGAGATTCAAACCAATAAAAACTTTCTTTTGAATCGAAATTGAAATTCGACGACCTTATTACAAAACGAGGACGAAAGAAGTACATGTGATGATTATTTATATTAATTTTTCAAAAAATTAACCATGGTAACAAATGACTGATTTGAACTGTTGACTGAGCCACGAACTAAAAAACCGGTTAAAAATTATTGTAAAAACCAATATGAAGTATATATCAAATGTATGTTAATAGGTTTAAGTCATTTTTGTATGTAATTTGCATTCTTAAATTGTTTCACAATCACCAATAATACTTGACACGAGTTAAAACGCATCGTATCGGTCGATGTATCTGTGTTAAGGTAAACGCTACTTTACAAGGATAACTGAATCCCTATCATTTATTTATTCAAAAATTGAGAAAATAAAAATTAAATTTATGGAATTTGAGTCGAATTGACAAAATAAGCTAGAAATTTAACATTTTGATAATGTATTTCAAACAATGAAAACATACAGAACTAAGATATATAAATGTATGAAGTCCCTTAGATCATGGGGCACGGGACAGACATTTATGCATCTGTTTTTTTTAAAACTTAGTGACACAGTCCATTCTTAGATATTATGCTGGTTTCCTCAAAATATTTTCCTTCACTACTTGCGTACGTTAGCTGAGCAATACTAATTATGTAAAGACAAGAAAAAGTTCATTGGTGCACGACCGGAATCGAAGGCGCGACCTAAATTGAGACTCACACTCAGACAACATAAAAATCTTTATTTAAAAGCGGTTTTAATTTTACAAAAAAATATATTTATTTACCACTAAACGACGATAAATTTAAAGTGTAATTTATTTTTAATTAATACTTTTCAAACACTTTTATTCCTTAATCGTTTAAGTACAAGTTAGTCAGGGGAATTCACGAGGGACTTCACTGTTAAAATAAAACAAGTATTTGTTCAGACATGTTCAATAACGGACTGATTTTCCTCTGTATTCAAGTGGTTCGAAAGCTTCCCTATCTTCTAAATGTCGCCAGCATTATCAAATATTAGACATCGTGACATGTTAGAGACTTATTTATATTATGTGTCCAATTCGCGCTCGCTCTTATTGTAAATTTTTTATGAATCGATAGTTGAAATCACTTGCTGCTCACGCGAAGTGAACTTCCCCAGCTGCGGCTATTAGTCTATAAAGCATATTCATTCACTTCGACGCGAATTCCATTTGAGTTGTTGCCATACTGCAGGGGATGTACATCAAAGATGTTGTATTTGTTTTTTACTAGATACATAACTACATTTAGTTTTTAAATACTTTGTACTCATTTAAAAAAAGATTATATTTAATTGGGTTTATTCAATGACAAAGCATTTTTGATAGATGCCGTAAATACCTAAACGTCAATTGTATACCTCTTTCTTCGTGTTTTTGGAATTCTGCTACACTTATGTATACAGATTAAAGAGAGATTAAAACCCAGTAAATAATTAAATGAAAATTTATTTAAATAACACTTTAATTTGGCAACAATTTTTGAGAACGTTTCTATTTCGACAGCCCCTAAAAACTGTATTAGCATAACAATTATATTATAACGGTCTGACACCCACTATCGGCTTTTGACATCTTAATTTACAGATAACTCAATATATGATATATCTTTCCTCGGACTTAACAATAATACTTAATATTTGATAGGTGTTTTCTCAAAAAACCTTGAGGAAACGTGGTTGATACAAGATGGCGACGTTTATACGATTCCTATTCCCGCGTAGTCAAAAACTCTTGAATGAAACGTGATACAATAATGCGTATATATCGAAAACTCTGTCAACTTTTGTCTTTGATATATAAACGCTGTCAAACTTACAAAGTTGTTTTATTTTATTTTAAGCCAAAACTAGATGAATGCTTATTTATACATAATGTCCACATAATAATATATATTTTTATAATACTTACACAAAACGTATAACTATTGGTAGGGGAGCCCACGATGCTAAATGGGGATTTACTCGAGCGTCGTAGAGACCTATTGGGATGCAAAGCTTAGATAATAAGAAGAAAAAAATGTTATATGATATATACCTTTTCATCGGTGGGGGAAGCGGCTATAGATTATTAAATATGTAAAAAAAAACTGTTGCATGGACATCCTCGAGCGCGTCAGATATTGATAGCATCAATGCCCTACGTATTTTTAATAATGTACGTATGTTAATCTGATCGTTTGCATGATGCGGGT